CTCCTGGTTAACAGTCAAGTGCCTTAGGCACTATGCTACCAGAGCTCCTAACATAGCTTGTAGAACAAAATTTTTATGTATTTTATTGTGCCAACTGAATCTGGTGTACCCCAATACTATGGTCCTGAGTCGGTAGATCTTTTGGATCTCTCTCCCACAAGTGTCTGGCTGTCTGGGAGGGATTGGTGTATGTCTGTCTTCTGTTGTTTCTGTAAGGATTGTGGGTATTTTGTATCACTGGTATCTGTGCAAGATTAGCCTCAGCTGAATCTATCATTCATCTAGAGTATAATCCTGTTCACTGACCCCCATCTGATCTTCTCAGATGTTTATGTGTTTATCTGTAGCCTGGTGTTTGGTGTTTGGTGTTAATGGTAATGCAGTATTGTGGATATGCTGGTATTAGCCTCTGTCATTTATATCTTATGTTCACAATTCAGTGTCCTCCCTTTTCCTAATGTTATCATGGTGATCACAGACTCTCTCTATACCATCCCTCCCCTTATCCACGTCAGCGTGTGGCCCCCAACTAGGCTGAAATTATCAGGGCACTCGTACATTGGTTGACATTGCCATTTGCTTCAGGATGAGGCAAGGCATCAAAGTGGGGTAAGTGATAGCCAAAACGGCTGACTTGATAGCTTTGGAAGAAGGTAGGATTCAGTAATAAGGATCTTTGGCAAGATAGAATGGGAAAACTCTTTAGGTAGCAGGTGTCACACAGTTGGTAGCAAAGTTAGGTTTGTTTGTTTGTTTTGTTTTTTAAATTTTGGTGGAAATATCGAACACTCCAGAAATTCCTTTGGAACTTCAAGATACAATTTGAACTTAAGTGTGTAGAGTTATCATCTGGCAAAATCTCAATTAGTAAAAGTTGACTCTTTGTAATGAAGTGCTTATAGACTATCAAGATGCTTGAGAACTCTGGACACTTGCACTTGGTTAAGCAGAGAAGGTAATTTTCCCCTTTCTTGGAGGCTTTTTTATGGAATTTCTCTTTCTCTGTCTGCTCTAGCTGCCTGCTGATGTACAGATGCACACAGTTAGTCATCTCAGCATGAGTTTATACAACCAACTTCTCCCAACACCTAATGAAAGCAAAAGAGAAAATGAGGCTTGATTTATCCATAGGATATGGTTACAGTTAGTGCTTTACTTGGTTTTTTAAAATAAAAACATCTTTTCTGCATTTTCAGTCTATTTAGATCTATATGAATAAAGCTCTTAAATCAATATTTAGATTATATATACATGACCTTTATATAAGTGACATTCTCCTTTATTATAAGAAGACTAATTTGGTCCCTCCAGGATGTAGCTTCCAAGGGTGTTACACTTTTAGAGTTTATCCCAGAATTCAGGGGCTTAATACTGAACTCTCAGAAGGATGAAGAATAGGCAAAAAGAACAGATTCCAGTCACCCTCCCTTCCTCCACCTTCCCAGGCAGGTGAGAGAGGTATTTCTCCAGAGCTCTGCCTTCACAGGCACTCGCAGCCTGGGGCCACCAAATTATATTTTAAACTGGAGTGTTGTGCAGTCAATTACAGCTCCCCACTGCGCTTTTCTTTCAGAATTACCACAAGTGCTTCTCTTGGAGGACTTTGTCCTCAGTATAGGGAGCTTATCACTAGCTTAAAATTCGCCACTGAGCTTTGTGCCTAAGAAAGGCTTTTTCTAACAGACATTTGAAGCACTTTATTGAGGTAGCACCACACATATTTAATGAAGCCCTGAAAAGGCACCTACTGTGAAGCAAAAGATGAGATGAATTAAAAATAAAATAGATGGCTTAAAATAGACTCAATGGCTTCGGGCAATCTATAAAGCTGTTAATCTGCTTTCAATGTGAAGTAAACAGCTGAAAATACTTAAAAGTTGAAAAGAGAAAAAACCTCCTCTTAATAGCCAAGTTGCAATTGTAATTTTATTTAAATATATGTGTGTATATGTATGTAATATCGATATATGATATTAATATATAGAATATATTGAGATGTATAAAATATTAATATTATACATCTTAATACATTATAATAATACAATATATAATATTAATATCAAAATTGATATATACAATATCAACTGTTTTCTGATTGGTTTTTTAATTCCTTTCCCTTTTCAGTGATAGTGAAAACTGGTTTTGTGAGTGTCCAAGGCTGTACTCAGGCAAGTTGTGCCAGTTTGCAACTTGTGAAAATAACCCATGTGGAAACGGTGCCACCTGTGTTCCAAAATCCAGCACTGATACTGTCTGCCTCTGCCCTTATGGGAGGTCTGGACTCCTCTGCACTGACGGTAAGAGCATTTGACTGTTATACATGGTACACAGGCAGAGCAGGTGAAGAGATAGAAGTCACACAGTAATCAAGGACAGCATCTGACTCATCAAATATGTCAAATATTTTCTTGATTCTTTTCAAGTCAGTTGAAGACAAGACTCATTAGTGAGACTGTTCACTAAGCAAGTATTTCTCATACTCACCAAGCAATTACAAAGGAGGTAATGAATTTTCCCTGAGGTATGACTACAGAAAATCTCTGCATTATAACATCTCAAAGTCAATCTAATGATAAAAGAATAATAAGGAAAATCAGGAGCAATATATAAAACCTAATTATTTTACATCATTTTGGCAAGCAAAGTACAATATTAATAAATCAATGTATTAAAGCCCAATCGTATTCAGATAGGAAAGTCCATAACACTGTTAATTTAAAAAAAAAAAAAAAAACTCACTGTCATGGAGTTGGATCTAATTCACAGCGACCCCTCCTTGGGTTTCTGAGAAAGTGTCGCTACGGAAGTAGATTGCCCATCCTTCCATCCGAGGAGTAGCTGGTGGGTTTGAATCACCAGCCTTCTGATTAGCAGTCAAATGCTCTAGACCATGCCACCAGAGCTCCCAACACTGTTATTATATATCAATAAATTAAATCACAAACAGCTAAATCAAGTGTCTCTCCTTAAGAAAATCCAGTATGTGGAATCTCTAAATTACAAAAAGTTACAAAATGCTGCAACATAAGATTGCTTTAAGAAGCAAGTTTTGATATATTTAACATTAGTTTTGATATATCGAAATATGTCTATAAATATTTTCAGAAAGATTAAAAATGATTGGCACTAGTATTTAATCAACTCAGGACTAGACGTCCTTCATTTTTTTTTTCATCATAAAGATCAAAAACAAAATTTACCTCTTTGGCACTGGAGCTCTTTGGTATCAAATTTAAGGCTGTCAAAGTGAGCACAGAGCCCTATGTCCCAGGCATACCAAGTAAGCAGATTCTACCAGCAATGACCCATTGAAATGCTGGGGCACCACACCCTGAAGTGACAAGTATGAACCTTGAAACCAAAATAAAGAAAAACCTTTATTTTTCTTTTGTGACTAAAGAATATTGAAGTTTTTGATTTATTCCTCTTTGGAGGGGATTGAGATGACAGATTTATGTGTAGTTGGGAGAAAGGAAGAGTTAAGAAGTACAAAGAATTTCATTCTGTGTGTGGTAAGGTTTTATTAAAAGAAGTTACTCATGTAAGTTACTCAAGAGACTTGAGTCTCTTTTACAATATGAAAAAGCACTCTAGAGTGGGTGGAATTGAAGTCTTGGCCTTTGTCAGAAATACTTCATATTTCTCAGCCGTAATCATTTTTATTTATACAAAAGCCATTGAAACATGCAATTGATCAAAATAAATTTGATTACTAAGGGATGAATCCTCATTTTTGCTTAATATGTGAAAATAAGACCAGCCCTTTGAAATAAGAAATAGTGGCTCAAATTACTGTCTTTATATGTTTACAAAAAAGATGATTTTTTCCCCCTCTTTGTCTCCTTGGAATTCCAAAGATGCAGAGATAAGAATTATTGAGACAGGAAAAATTAGAAAAAGTTTATTAGTCTCTTTGCCTCAATGTAGTAAGAAGAAATTCCTTTATGTATGTACCCAGAAGAATTTCTCAAAATAATTAGGCTATCCATTAATATATTTCACACTTGTGCTTGATCCAGTTAAAAGTACTGGAAATGGATTTGGGTGAAGAGAAGGGCAATGTACCAAATGTGAGTGACCAATATGGCAGCATTGAGGATGAGAAAGACAGAGAGAGTT